AACTCAGAAATCAGTAAGCCATGGCTAATTGTAATGATAACTGTCATCATAATAATCTGGGATATGGACACGGGCCAAATCTGTTGGAATGTCACAGCAAATACCTCTGTAATTCTTACTGACTTCTTCTGTAATGAAACCGAATGGCACCATGACCATACTCTGCTGTGGCATGCCATTGGCATGATTGATAAAATTCAACTACCTTATGTAAACTACCTTATGTAAATGCTGATGCTGATAACCAAACATACTGAGATCAAGTTAAAGCCTCCTCAAGTTGTAATGTCAAAGGAAAATGGCTGGTCTGGGGAAGAACTTGAGTTGGCTGACCATCAGCTCATTTCTATGCTAAATAGCTCTGTTCAAGGTTATTACAAGGTACAAACAACATAGCTCCAAGGAGAGCAAGTAATCAAATAAGTACAGAATGTGAAAATGTATGCCATGGCTTTCAAAGACATTGCTGTTTCTTTGAATCTATCCTTCGTCTCCACTGGCTCCTCCAGACATGGGGCACATTCATGTTCTTGCTTTATCTATCCTATTCAGTAAAATGTTGCTGTCCCTGCTGCATAAGTGCTCTTTAAATGTAGATGCTCAGAAAAATACGGTCCTTTTGCTGTAAGAGCACCTAGGCTGAGAACCAGGTGTGTGGACTGTGCCATAAAAAAGGGTTAACTCAGCTATTTTTGTATAAGTTAGGAATTAAAAGGAACTTTAAAATACTCTAATCCTAACAGTTAGAGTGAGGCACAGAAATGGAAACTGTGTCCCTCTGAGTTGGGATTCAGAATTACTTTGATAATTAGGGTTAGGAGCCCTCGAGACACATGTGGCTGATGATGAAGAGCAGTGACAGGAGAGCCTGTGTCTGAGGAAAAACATGGGATCCAAATGCTGCTCCTTGGTTAAGAGGAAAGACTACAGGTGGCAGGATTCCCAAGATGACCCCCCAAGGTACCTTTCTGCCCTTCTTTTTAAATCAAGTGTTAATCTGGGCTCTGTGGAGACATTTTGCAAAACAGTGAAAAGAGTAGGTATGTTTTACACTTAAAAATAATTATTTATTTGAGATCATGGTGGGAGGAGGAGAAAGAGAGAGCAAATGGCACGAGAGCATGGAAAGGGCAGAGGGAGAAGTAGTTAGAGACTCCTTGGCCAACTTGGCACTGAGCAAGAAGCCTGGCAAGGGGCTGGATCTCACCCCCCTGAGATTACTCCCTGAGCCAAATTCAAGCTGCAGACACTTAAACAACCGAGCCACCTGGGCAACCCTGTTTACATTTTGAACAATCTTACATGTTGGCTTAAGCAAGGAGAACTGAATTCTCTATTTCTGCTGCATTCTATCTGATGCAATATCACAGGTCATGTTTTCTCTGGAAAGCTCCACGGGGCACTCATGAGAAAGGGAGGATGAAGAAGGCAAAAAGTGTAAAAAAAATTCTGAAAATAGTTTTGATCATATGGATTTTTGAGAGATTCTCAGACATTCCCTCCGTTTGCAGGACCCACTTAGAGAACCAATGACTTAGTATATTCAAGCTCAGACTCCACATTCATAAAATGGTAATGCTGATCAGATTAAACCATGTAGTCAGTATAGAGCACTTGGCACATTTTCTGAAACAAGACAAGGGCTCAGTAATTGCTGTTTATGAATAGTAGAAACCTTCCTCATTTGTACTTAGCAATCCTTCCTACAGACACAGCTTGGGGATCTACTCTCTCTCAGGGTTTCCATAACAGGTTCCATGGGAATCCACTTCTAAAGCACCTGTGATCAATTTGAGAGTTTTGGTATAGTAATTTGTGCTATTTGTCTCACACTTATAACCCTTGAGATAGTTGGAAGTTTGTGTACAAACAGTGTAATGCCAATATCCATCCTGTTTGTTCCCCAGAATTTTCCTCCAAGGACCATCAGACACAACCTTAGGTCTCCCCTCAGAGGAAACTCAGGGAATTCCCCCCCGCAATCTTAGGAAGAAGATAAATAGATAAAATATCATAAGATCATTCTGGGAGTTTGAATTCTCAATAGAAACTCAAGAATGTTTTAAATTCATCTGACTCCAAAATAAAAGCTACACTCCTGGGGTTCTTTGAAGAAACTTCAGCAAGTCTAGTGAGTGACTCCTTCTGTATCTGGGGCTTAATCCTCTGAAAGCTACCTAGGGAACAGGTCCCTACATCCATTTTAGAGGTACATCTCTCAACTCTGTGGGGTTTACTGTAGGTTAAATTTACTTCTTGTGAGAAAACCCAGGGCTAACATGTCCTTATGTAGAAGAGATTATTAACTTATGCTGGGAGATGATTTTCAATATGGGTGCTGATAAAGGACAGGTTATGTGGCCAAAAATGACATTCCTGCGTAAACTTCCCTCCTGACTCACACTTTCCTCCTGAACTTCCTTCCTGACTCACACTTTACTCCTGAATTTCCCACCTCTCTCTCCCCTACCTTAGGGACCATCTGCCCACTGTGTGGTGGACAGACATCCTTGAATTCCCCTGGCATCTCTCTCACCATTTCCTCCTAATGTAACTGAGTAGTGATGGGCAGAACTAGCACAGCTGTCTCAGGGCTGTGTGAGGGGCTCAGACAATGAGAAGCCTTATATTCAGCCATTGTCTTTGAACATGTTTCCCAAATGGCCAAATTAATGAAAGGACTTTATATATCACCTAGCTTAAATGAAGTTTTCTTTTTTAAACATCTATTTATTGATTTTAGAGACAGAGCAAGCCCAGGGATGGGCTTGATCCTGGTACACCCAGATCATGACCTGAACAGAAATCCAGAGATGGTCACCTAACCAACTAAGCCATCCAGGCTCCCAGAAGATCTTGATGTCCAGACAAACCTGTCTTAATGGAAAAGAATGTTCTAGTAACATTTACAGTAAATCTTTGCTGAAACACTGTAAAATGTAAGTTTGCCGTATAGTTATCCTTTTTGGAACCATACCAGTTTTTCACTCTTTTGTGAAGATTTTCAAGCTTAAAAATCACTGAGTTTATGCACATGTCTTTCCTATAACAAAACACGATAAAAAGGAGTGCCAATGGTTCTGACGAGGGTTGGAGAAAGAGATATAGCTCCCTCCATCAGGAAACATTCTGGGCTCCAGGACAGCCCACAGAAAGCTGCCCCTACTGACTGAACAAAGGTTTCCTTTTTGAGCTGCTCTTATTTCATTTACTCCATTGGAGAGATGAAATTTTAGGTATCACTACCATGACATCTTCTTCTGTATGCCAGTACTGTATCTGCTTAAGGTTTTTTTTTCTGGAAAGAGAGGGTGGGGGGAGGGTACAGAGAGAGAGAGAGAGTCTCAAGCAGCCTCCAGGACCAGCACATAGCCCAGAGCTGCTCCATCTCAGGACTCTGAGATCATGACCTCAGCCAAAAACAAGAGTCAGATGCTTAACTGATTGAGTCACCCAGTTGCCCCACTGCTTCACAGTTTTAATACAGGTTTATTCTTATTTTTATTTTATTTTTTTCTGTTGTTCATTCTTCTAACAACAAGATGGTGATAATGGTAATGAAAATGAGAGTGAGAAGATTCACTAATTCAGACACAAAAATAACTAGGCTAAAAAGTTATTAAACAAATGTTCCCATTGAATAGTGATGGATTCAATGTCTTCAACAGTATTTTATCCTTTCTGTTCACAGAGTAAATTTGGTTCAGACATTGCTTAGTGTATCCCACTGTGCCTCTGTAGAATTCTGCAATACTGATATTGCTATCTCCCACTTTACACAAGGTACGCATATTCTTTAATTGTAGCAAAAATCCGTGTCACAAACATAAGGCACATTTACAGAGAAGCTTCCCAAAAGCAATCATACTCATGGAGGTGAAAAAAATCTATGATTTTTGTTTCTCTTTAATTTTCCAGTGATCATATTCTAACTTCTCTAAGGAAGGAGAAACCACGTCTTTGTCAAAAACTGGCAGGTAGAACATACTTAGTACATCCATTTTTTGAACTAAAATAACAACCATCCACCTAACAAACATTTCCTGAGTGCCTGTTTCATGTAGCACTTTACCTGTTATTTTGAGATGTAAAGATGTTCAGGACATATTAAACACCCACAAGACTGCCTATTTGGTGAGGGAATCTCAGTTCAAATCCACGACATTTGGTATCTTTGATTTCATCATCTTTGATTATCTTTGATTTCATCTTGAGGATTATCCAGATCTTCATGGTGAGGATCTACCTCTTCACTGTTAGTATTGACCAAGCCCAGACATTTAGTAGGTACCTGAAGAGCCTCTTCATGTGAATCTACTCTGATTCACAAGAGTAGAAAAGACCCTTTTTTGCAGGTTGTTTTATCATTCGTGTTTCAGTGGGGCCAAGAGAAGATCAAGGAGGCTGCCTTCTTTCTCTTTGTAGTACTTAGTGGTACATATAATAAAATGGTTCAGTTGAGGAGGACTATGACAACACCCATGGCAACACCCCACCAGAATTAGACAACGAGGGTAGTGATGCACACAGTTTGTAACCACACTGATATTTTTGAATGTCCCATTTTCGTTTTCCAACCCAATATGTACTAGATTGAGAATTTACAATTCCCTAACCCTAGTATGCTCTTAAGTGTTATACAATAATTCTCAGTATTTAAAAACTTACTGAATTCATCCTACACTCAGAAAAGGCACACGATGGTGGAGAAAAAGAGAATAAGGTAAACATGAAAGAGATAGTAACATTTGTTGAATCTGTGTGAAGGCATTTGGGAGTTCTTTGCCTAATTCTTGACCCTTTCTTGTGAGTTTAAACTTTCACATTAAAAGTTCAATCAAGAAGGTAACCAATTCTGGGGAGTAGGGGGAGCTGGCTAGTAGGTATAAAGATATAACCTTTCTCCAAACTCATTTTGAGATAAGTAACTCTAATTTTTGTTGATTCTCCAGCTCTGACCTTTTCTCATTCTTCAGTCCTTGATAAACTGTCACTGGGAAATGGGAAGCAACCATTCATGGGTCTCAGAGTTCATCTTGGTAGGACTCCGGCTCAGTGCAGAGATGGAAGTATCCCTCTTCTGGATCTTCTCCCTGTTCTACATCTTCAGTCTGTTGGCAAATGGCATGATCTTTGGGCTCATCTGTCTGGACCCGAGACTGCACACGCCCATGTACTTCTTCCTCTCACACCTGGCCATCGTTGACATGTCCTATGCATCCAATAATGTCCCCAAGATGTTGGCAAACTTAGTGAATCAGAAGAGAACCATCTCCTTTGTTCCATGCATAATGCAGACATTTCTCTATTTGGGTTTTGCTGCTACAGAGTGCCTGATTTTGGTGGCGATGTCCTATGATAGGTTTGTGGCGATCTGCCACCCCCTCCAGTACACTGTCATCATGAGCTGGAGAGTGTGCATTGTTCTGGCTGTCACTTCTTGGTCATGTGGATTTACTTTGTCTCTGGTACATGCAATTCTCCTTCTAAGATTGCCTTTCTGTGGACCCAGGAAAGTGAACCACGTCTTCTGTGAAATTCTGTCTGTCCTGAAGCTGGCCTGTGCTGATACTTGGATCAATCAAGTGGTTATCCTCGCTGCCTGTATGTTTGTCTTAGTCGGGCCACTCTGCTTAATGCTAGTCTCATACATGTGCATCCTCTGGGCCATCCTAAAGATCCAGTCAAAGGAGGGCCGCAGAAAGGCCTTCTCTACCTGCTCCTCCCACCTCTGTGTGGTGGGGCTTTTCTTTGGCATAGCCATGGTGGTTTATATGGTTCCAGAGTCTAATCAACGAGAAGAGCTGGAGAAAATACTGTCCCTATTTCACAGTCTCTTTAACCCAATGCTGAACCCCCTCATTTACAGCCTGAGGAATGCTCAGGTGAAAGCTTCTTTGTATAGAATATTGCAGAAAAAAACCCATGTGAAGCATAGATAGAATGTTGTTTGAGTAGCGTTTCCTTTTAAATTCAGTGGTTTGCTGAAGCAAAAACACAGAAAAATTTCCCACTTAGAAGTTTGAATTAAAAATGGTAACTGTCCAACTTTTAGCTTTAAAAATAGGGAAAAGTTCGATGAAAAGCATTATCATCTAAAATTGAGAGACCATATTGGGATTTTTTACATCTAAATTATCAGAATATTTAGTCTTTTTTTTAACAGATTCATTTATTTACCTATTTGGAGAGAGAGAGAGAGAGAGAGAAAGAGAGAAAGAAAAAGGGAGAGTAGGGGAAGGGACAGAAGGAAACAATGTCAAGCAGACTCTCCACAGAGTGCAGAGCCTGACACTGGCCCAGTCTTAGGATCCATGAGATCATGACCTGAGCTGAAACCACGAGTTTGTGACCCAACCAACTGGGCCACACAGGCACCCCTAGTCTTTCTTTTAAAAAATATTAAGTGTTCTTTATTTTTTGAAACCAGGAATATTAATGTATGGAGAAAAAAATTTAAATGTAAAAAATTACATCAGTGCATTTCTCTGGCTTATGTATTTAGACATATGTGATTTTTTAATCACCTTGTAGCTAGAAACAGCACAGTAAGATTAATACCATAAGACAGAACTTCCAAAGTATATCTGAAATTTCAGTAGAGAAAATGTTGCAGAATTATATGACTCTGTCTTACCAATTGTGAGATCAATGAAGTAAGAGTTTAGAGAAACTTTAAATTCCTTGATGGAATAATTTATGAGTAAAGGGGAGAAAGTTAGGGAAAGCTCTAGTCCAAGGAGAAACCATACGAAAGTATCCTAAAATATGTTAAATGTTTAGGATTTGGTGACATGAAGAACATTCATTAGTGAATGTTTAAATGATTCTAGAGGTAAGAGTTTTGAGCATTGCTCAAATATTACATGTATTATTGGGTTATAATAATTTCATTGTTTAAAATAATTTCTAATAAGATTGAATTACCTGTTAAAGTTCTTCAAATAGTTCCCACCAACATTTTTTGTAGTATTTGAATCAACTTACTTGAAGGTGGTTTGGGGTAGCACCAAACATCATGAGACGATTATGATTAGATAACATCGTCTTTCTTTCATGGTGGTGGAAATTCCTCTGAATTTACCAGATTGAACAACTGTCTTCATGATGCTAATGGTGATAAAATAAGTAATAGCTGCTTTTTTATCATTCAGTATTTGTAGATATTGCAAAATGATCACAATAAGTATAAATAACACCTGTCACCATACATAGTTACAATTTTTTTCACGTATTGAAAATTTTCAAGATCTGCTTTCTTAAGAGAAACTTTTAAACATGCAATACAGTATTATTAACTATAGTCATTTAACTGTGCATTCATCTCCGTAAGTTACTTATTTCATAACTGGAACTTTGTGCCTCTTGACTCTCTTCACCCATTTCACCCACTCCCCATGCACTGGCCTCTGGCAATCATCAATCTGTTCCTTGTATCTATGAGCTAGTTTTTTTTTTTTCTCTCTTTCTCTTTCTTTCTTCCTTTTTTCTTCCTTCCTTTCCTTCTTTCTTTCTTTTTTTCTTTTCTCCTTTCTTCCTTCCTTTCTTTCCTCCTTCCTTCCTTCCTTTCTCCCTCCCTTCTTCTCTTTCTCCCCTTCCCCCTCTCCTCCCTTTCTTCCTTTTTTCTCCTTCTCTCCCTCCCTCCCTCCCTTTTTGGTTCCACATATAAGTGAGATCAATATGGTATTTGTCTTTCTCTGTCTGATTTATTTCACTAGCCTAATGCCCTCAAGATCCATCCAGGTCATCACAGATAGCAAAGCTTCCTTCCTTTTTATGTCTGATTAATATTTCATTTTATACATACCACATTTTCTTTATCCATTCTCCCATTGATGGGCACTTATGTTGTTTCCTTGTCTTAGTTATTGTGAATAGTGCTGTAGTATCATGGGGGTACAGATACCTTTTTGAGTTAGTGTTTTCATTTCCTTTGGACGAATACCCAGGAATTAAATTGCTGAATCAAATGGTAGTTCTATTTTGAATTTGTGGAGGAACTTCCATAACTGTTTTTTACAGTGGCTGTACCAATTTATATGCATAAGGGTCCCCTTCTCCCCACATCTTCACCAACACTTGTAATCACTTGTGTTTTTGATGATAGCCATTCTAACAGGTGTGAGGTGATATCTCATTGTGATTGTGATGATGACGTGTGATGTCAAGCAACTTTTCATGTGCCTGTTGGCCATTAGGATGTCTTTGGAAAAATGTCCATTCGGATCTGCCCATTTTTAAAATGGATCATTTGTTTTTTTGCCATTGAGTTATATGAGTTCTTTATATATTTTTCATATTAACCCCTATTGGATAAGTGATTTCCAAATATTTTCTCCCATTTAATAGGTTGTCTTTTCATTTTGCTGATGGTTTTCTTTGCTGTGCAAAAGCTTTTCAGTTTTATCTTAAAATATATCATGATGTTAATTATCCTCTATTTTTTGACAAGTTATGAAAACTTTAATTAACTTTAAGAGTTATAAAATTCTAAAATAGGTACAAAATTAAGCATAGTTAACTTTCATTAAAAATATATAGTATCAAATTAAATATATATATGTAGTACTCAAAGCATATAATATATAGTATTCAACAATATAAGCAAATATATATGCTGAGAGAGATAATCAAAGACATTTAATAAGCTTAAATAAGTAAACACATAAATAGAATTCACTTTACTTGGCAGAGGACCATCATCTATGTCCACTGCCTGTTTGTTGCCAGTTTTTTCCATCATAATTTTATGTCTAAATTGTTCACATGTGCTCCCAATACATGGTTGTAACTATAAAAATAAAGACAATTCTATGCTTCTTCCACTTTTCTGAGCAAGATAATTATATTTCCTTGGAATATAAATTGCCACCATTATTAGAGCTAGAAATTTTTCAAAGAATAATTAAATCTTTGCTGAAACATGAAATAGAAGATGGTTCTAGAGAAGATGACCCAGAAAGTGACTTCATTTCAATTCAGTGCTTCCAATGAGAATTAAAAATTTGCCTTAACTGTTGCCCAAAGTCAATATCTCAGATTCTAAGATGTCCGTCTATATATTTGGAATGAGCTTATATATTCAGCAATATAAACAAACTTCATAAACTATAAAAGTTATTTGAGCAAATCAAATGTTTATTTTCTATATATAATTGAAAATAGGAAAAGTCATATTGTTCTAATATTAACCACTTAATAATTAAGCACTTTAAAGTAAAAGTTTAAAACATTTCTCCATTGTCTTATTTCTTGTATAGAAAGAAAGAATAGAAAAAGAGAAATCAAGTTATTTAAAGTTCATAAAATAAGGCTACAAAAAATCTGCATTTCTAAACTATTATCTGGTTCAAAATTGTTATTTGTAGGGGCGCCTGGGTGGCTCAGTGGGTTAAGCCTCTGCCTTCGGCTCGGGTCATAATCTCAGAGTCATGGGATCGAGCCCCACAGTCATGGGATCGATCCTGCTTCCCCCCTCTCTCTCTCTGCCTGCCTCCCTGCCTACTTGTGATCTCTGTCTGTCAAATAAATAAATAAAAATCTTAAAAAAATTGTTATTTGTAGGGTATAATTTTTAGAGTAGAATTTCATTTTTACACTGTTGCTTAGCTATATACACTTTGGAGGGGTCAGAGCTGTGTTTTTGCTGTTCCAACATCGTCATGAATACTGTACTGTAAGCTGCATTATAGGAAAGCCTATAGAACCTTCTATCTGAGGAAGAGACCAGCAGTGGCAGCCTTCTGGTGATCAGAGGGTCTTCCAAAAGTTACGAAGGGTCTGCGGAGTCACAGCAGGGACAAGCTGTGCCCCGCAAGCTCACTGATCTCTCTCATTCTCACGAGAAAGCCGTGGAAGGTGGAAAACACACATACACCTGGACACAACACTGGCATTAGAGGAAGCCAGTAAGATACCCCAGAGGTTAGTCAGAGGTCAAGAATTCAGATACATGAGGTTAAAAGAGCAGACCCCACCACTAGTTTGGAGTCAGGGAGACAGGAACGAATCTCATTTCCCCTACTCACTGTGTGGCTGGTGCAAGTACTTAAAATACAGAGTCCTCATCATGAAATTAGGAATAATACTTCTGCTCCAGAAGAACAAGGCATGCCAGCGGAACACAGCATCAGCACAGGGTGCGACACAAAGACACCCCAAGAAAATGACATACATGGTATCCAGAGACCACTGGTCAGGCATGAAGACTGAGGACTGTTCCCAATTGTAGACATGACATGATCAGATCATGTGTCCCTCTGCCCAGAAGTCTCTTTCCACTTGAGCTCTGCCTCAAAGAGCAGAGTCTCATTATCAGGACTGTCAAACTTAAAGAAATGGCTTTATAGGGAGCAGGTCTATGCTTAGTGGTTATCACTGGCGTGTCTGATCATTATTCTTTTACCGTCTTTCAACTCTTCAGAGATCTCTGTTTTCCCGTCCTCAACATGGATACTTTCATTCTACTACCTGAGACAATGATTTTTTTAAAGCTTCAAGAAAATGTCAGGGGCTCTAAAAACATCAAGGCAGTAATATCTTCCATCCTGTGATGTTACATTCCCCCCACCCCCAGGAATAATGCAGACAACCTGCTGAGAGGATGGGCAACATATATGTAGCTAGGGAACCCTCCTTTGTCAGAAGACGGGCTTCTGGGTCACTTTCTCTATCTGCTTCTGGAATAACAAGGGGAAGCTCAGTGCCGATGCTCAGACCGGGTATAGCAGGTTCAGCCAGGGACTGAGGGCTGCCATATACACGGACAAGCGTTCAGGCGGGCAGTCAGCACACAGTGCAATACAAGGAAGTGACCTAGCTTCAGTTACCTGAACTAGCTGTTTCATTCCCTCCCGCTCTTTAAAGTTCAACTTCTTTAAGATCATCTGAGGTCCTTTGACCCCTGACGAGGCCAACCTGATTGCTGGAGAATCAAGCAGAATGACAGCACATCCTAGTGAGCAGCTTATAGAACACGGTCTCTAGAGGCAGCCTTCCTGAGTTCAAATCCAAATCCTGCCGCTTACCCCTGTGTTGACCCTGGGCTACTTCTTTAATCTTTCTGTCTCCGCTCTATCATCTGTAAAATGGAGATAATTGTACCTACCTCACAGAGTAATCACGTGGACTGAGTTTTTGTAAAGGCACAGAGCATACATAACACATAGCAGAAACTGTGTAAGTGTTTGGTAAATGACAGAAAAATTACATCTACCCTGGGCTTGGTGTTACGGCTGGTTTTGGAATCCCAGAATAGAAAATATCTTGTATTACCTTTCCCCTTTAATGCATAATGCTGATTAGTCAGTCATTGACCTTGAAAGACTCTGAAAAGACAATTGTTTTTTTTTCTTAGACCTATTCTTTCATTTGGGTTAGAAATTATTTTCCCTGCTTAACAGGTGAAGCAATTGAGAGTTGGAAAGTTTAAATTACTTACTAAAAGTGAAAAGGAAAAAAAAGAAACTTAGTGATAAGAGATTAGAAACTGAGAAAACAGTTCTCCCAAACCTGGTAGGAGACAGAACATTTTTACAAGATGCCATTCACAGCCCCTCCTGAAAAGTAATTAGAGCCCCTGAGAAGTCTGAGCAGTTTTCTAACAGACGTTCATGATATTTCAAGAGCCTTTCTGGGCATGTAGAGTTACTCACTCAGCTGACTGTCAGTTTGGGGACTTGCCTACATCTTTAACCTATTTTGTGACAAGCCTAATAATCTTTATTTTTTTTAACCTTCCAGTAAGTACTTTATTTTTTTAACTTATTTTTGTTATGTTCAATTAGCCAACATATAGTACACCATTAGTTTTTGGTGTAGTGTTTAAGGATTCATTAGTTGCATGTATCTTTAATCAGATATTTCCATATTGTATCTGCGCTCTTTTTCTTACAAAATGAATGTTTTTACCAGCAGGAGGCAGCACTGAGTTTATTTCACTCAGCAACCTCTCTAGCAGCTTGTTTGAAATAGAACGGTGAGGTGAGCTCAAAGTCACTTTACCTCTCACCTCTCTCTCCCCTACTCTTCGCTTCCTTCTCTTTCCCCTTTTCCTCTGACCCTTCCTTTTTTTTTTTTTTTTTCAAACAGAGTAACCCAAGGTCAGAAGGGAGGAGCCCAGAGCCAGTTACATCTCTGTGGGTGCTGAGCTGTTTTGCTCTGGGCCTTGAGGAAATGCCTGCCCCAGGGCTGGTTTGGGAGCAGGGAGGTTGCGGGAGAGTGCTGCATGCGGAGGAAAAGACAAGACTGGGGAGTGGGAAAGCTCTTGAGAAAAGGAGCCGCCATCACAGACCAAGGAACTCTGGTAAAAAACTTTGGAAAGTCACCCATGGCCTCAATCATGATGTTTTGAGTAATGTACGACTGAAAACCTCAGCTTTCCCAAGTTGGCTAGATTTCCACTCCAGCTCTGGGTCTGCACCAGGGTGAGGGAGAGACTGAATGTAAGTGCTAGAAATTCACCTCAGGTGTCTTCCATTATTATAGGGCATAGTTTATGTAATTCTAAAGGCTGCCCTAATTATGCCTTCTTTATAATTGAGGGGCTTAAAGGCATCTGCACTTGGAGCATGCCCACCTGATAAGACAGTGGTTTTTTCACACAAGATGAGGGTTTTGGTTTTTAACTTTGTAAGAGAGTTGTGGTTTGAATTTCTCCTTGAGGGGAACAGAATGTGAATGTTGATCACTTGTGCCTTTTACATGGTGTATAGAACACAAATTTGAAATATTTTGTTAAAATCTCTGCTTATTCATGAACTTAAAAAAAAGAAATCCACATAGTGACCCACATAGTGCATAAACCCTACATCTTTAGGCATGAAAAATGCAATTTCTTTTCTAAAGACTTTCTCCTGTTAAGCTGCTTTAGAATTAGTTAACCCAAACAGTCCCCCCAAAATTTCTAGAAAATGGGCTCCTAGGGTGAGCATGTAATGCTTAAGTATTTTTCTTGATGTGTACAAACTCTTCATTCATAGACTTGGCTTGTATTCTCAACTAATTAGATGGGATAGAATTTTCTACTGGTCTCTGGTATTCAGAAATTGTGTAGGTGAGTGTTTTCCTCCAGTTTTTAAATATTAAGTCCATTTTTCTTTCTGACAAAGAACAGGTGGATCATCAAAGCCAGAATTATTTTCCTTTTTTTTTTATTTAATTTTTTTCTCAGTGTTCCAAGATTCATTGTTTATGCACCACACCCAGTGCTCCATTCAATACGTGCCCTCCTTAATAACCCACCACCCGGCTCACCCAACCACCAACTCCCCTCCCCTCCAAACCCTCAGTTTGTTTCTCAGAGTCCACAGTCTCTCATGATTTGTCTCCCCCTCCAAATCCCCCCAACTCACTTCTCCTCTCCTTCTCCCAATGTCCTCCATGTTATTCCTTTTGCTCCACAAGTAAGTGAAATCATATAATTGACTCTCTCTGCTTGACTTATTTCACTCAGCATAATCTCCTCCAGTCCTGTCCATGTTGATGCAAAAGTTGGGTATTCATCCTTTCTGATGGAGGCATAATACTCCATAGTGTATTTGGACCACATCTTCCTTATCCATTTGTCTATTGAAGGGTATCTTGGCTCTTTCCACAGTTTGGCAACTGTGGCCATTGCTGCTAAGAACATAGGGGGTACAGATGGCCCTTCTTTTTACTACATCTGTATCTTTGGGGTAAATACCCAGTAGTGCAATTGCAAGGTCATAGGGAAGCTCTATTTTTAATTTCTTAAGGAATCTCCACACTGTTTTCCAAAGTGGCTGTACCAATTTGCATTCCCACCAACAGTGTAAGAGGGTTCCCCTTTCTCCACATCCTCTCCAGTACTTGTTGTTTACTATCTTGTTGATTTTGGCCATTCTAACTGGTGTAAGGTGGTATCTCAATGTGGTTTTGATTTTAATCTTCCTGATGGTTAATGATGATGGACATTTTTTTCATGTGTCTGCTAGCCATTTGTGTGTCTTCTTTGGAGAAGCGTCTGTCCGTGTTTCTGCCCTTTTTTTGATGTGATTATCTATTTTGTGTGTGTTGAGTTTGAGGAGCTCTTTATAGATCTTGTATATCAGCTCTTTGTCTGTAGTGTCATTTGCAAATATCTTCTCCCATTCCATAGGTTGCTTCTTTGTTTCACTGTTTCCTTTGCTGTGCAGAAGCTTTTGATCTTGACGAAGTCCCAAAAGTTCATTTTCACTTTTGTTTCCTTTGCCTTTGGAGACATGTCTTGAAAGAAGTTGCTGTGGCCAATGTCGAAGAGGTTACTGCCTATGTTCTCCTCTAGGATTTTGATAGATTTCTGCCTCACATTAAGGTCTTTTATCCATTTTGAGTTTATCTTTGTGTATGGTATAAGAGAATGGTCAAGTTCCATTCTTCTACACATAGCTGTCCAATTTTCCCAGCACCATTTACTGAAGCAACTGTCTTTTTTCCACTGTATGTTTTTTCCTGCTTTGTCGAAGATTATTTGACCATAGAGTTGTGGGTCCATATCTGGGCTCTCTTCTCTGTTCCACTGGTCTATGTGTCTGTTTTTGTGTCAGTACCATGATGTCTTGGTGATCACAGCTTTGTTGATAAACCACTGGCCAAACTAATCCAAAAGAAAAGAGAGAGGACCCAAAGTAATAAAATTATGAATGAAAAGGGAGAGATTACAATTAACACCAAGGGAATAGAAACAATCATCAGAAATCATTATCAATAGTTATATGCCAATAAGTTAAGCAACCTAGAAGAAGTGAATGCATTCCTGGAAACCTATAAACTTCCAAAACTTAATCAGGAAGAAACTGACAACCTGAATAGACCAATATCTGGTAAAGAGATTGAAGCAGTGATCAAGAACCTCCCAAAAAACAAGAGCCCAGGACATGATGGATTCCCTGCAGGATTC